TTATGTTATACTCCTCTAATGATTCCTCCTAATTATGTTTGTTTTACTCTAGGAATCCAGGCAGCAGTATGCTCATTCACAAGTTGAAAGGAATAATTTGCAGGCAGCAAATGTAGAGGTATATGACTTGTACATCACTGTCCTTACTGACTCATGGGGTGTCACCTCTCAGAGTAATAACAGACTTAGCACTTGTTGATGTTGGTGGACAATAATTGTCTATTTGTTGTAAGAATTTAAAGCACAATAATACCACTATTGTAGATCCTTAGCCCATCAAATTTTACAATCTTTTTCTGTACAGATGCTATAAACACCTATTCCTTTTTGCTGTTATGTATTGAGGAACTTGAAGTGCCCATGACTATATTTAGAATTAGATCATAAATAATTGACCTTAGCGCCTAGCAGGTTCACCTTGGCCATTTTTTTGCATGTTGAAAGAACATTTTGGTGGCCAAAAAGTGTCCCAATTAAATATGCAGCCAAAACGATCATGTTACTTTGCTGAGATGTAGAAACTGTGGAGACATGTCACCACCCACCAATTTGTTACCAGTCCTTGGGACAATTTACTGGTATCCCTGTAACCCCCAAGGAGTAACTAGCATCTGAATTCTCCTTACAATAACACCACTGAATCATTCATAAATGTCATGAGAATAAAGGAAATGATCACCACTTAAGAAACTCTTGATAGTTAGACAAATTCTCCTTGTCAGCTCCTTTGTAATTGTACAGAGAACAGTATGAGAATATGAATACTGATGTTGGGGTGTAAAGGGTTAAAGACAAAATAAGAGGGCCCCTTTAGGGCCCTAAAAAAACAGAATTTTTCTTCTATTGGAATTGGTTTGTACATATGATAAGCTAATATTTGTGCAAAGAATTAAAAATTTCTTGACATAAGCACTTTAAATTACAGATAATAGATGTGAGAATATTAGTTGCTTTATTACACCCATTTTGAAATCACTGGTGGTCCCTGTAATCTGATTGGCTCTAATTGGTGCGATTTATTCACGAACTGCACCATTTTTTGCTTTAAATTGCATCTTTTTCCCAGCCAATGAGCAGGCTACTCTAAAAACAAAACAACCAATCAGATTTCAAGGTTTGTTTAAAATAACCAATCAAATTGCAGGAAAATGAAAGACAAAGAGTATCATGTAACAAATTTTGCAACTTTTGTTTCTAAAACTCTTATTTTCTCCCCAAAAAAAAAAAAAAAAAAATGGATGAATTTAATTTCAAACTGGCTCAGTACAGCATAAATAAAATATTTGAACTGACCAAGTCCTGTATTTGGGCAATTTCAAAATGGATGTAATAAAATGGTAATTGAACCTTGTGTCGTGCAATTTTGGTCTGAAATCATACTTGTGATTTCAGCCCAAATTGCACTCCACTCAGTTCAATTACCATTATAAATCAGGGCTCATTGCTGTTTAACATACGTTTAAACAGGTTCATTTTCCAAATTAGATAATGAATTTTGTAATGCAGTTTGTTCAACTTTCTTATATATTTATTTGAGATTAGCCTTTGTGAAATGTGATACGAGAAAGATAACTTAATCTTGCATGAATGTTAGTGAAAAACTATTGATGAGACTATGATGGTTATTGATGAGACTATGATGGTTTATAGTTATTTAGTGAAGGGGATTTATAAATACATTCATTTTTGTAACTGAAAGAACTTGTATTTCTTTCCTTTCAGCTAAGGAGACATTTGGAAGATCACAAACAGTTGATCAATACGATACTTGAGGTTAGGTTTATACTCTGTTTACTTCAACATTGTGGTCTAAATATAATTCACTGATTTAAGACTTGTGAACCATAGAGTCGACTTGATTGTTGCACTTTTAAGAAGAAGCCCAGCTCTTCACAAGAAACAACATTTTCTTAAACATTTCTTGCAAAGGATTTGCTGACATTAGATTGAGTGTTTTTATTGTTTGTTAGTTAGGTTGTTGTTCTTGTTGTTGTTTATTTTTTATGCAGGCCAGTTACAGCTCAAATGTGTCTGGCAAAGATTTTTCCCTTAGCAACGTGTCTCTTCAATGCATCATGATACTTGTTGCACAAGCAACCCTTAGTCGTATTTCGAAGGCAGTTTCTGTCACCACATTTCATTCCTTGTGGTTCCCTCTTTTCTTTTTCATATTTTAATGTGGACTGTACAGGAGAAGTTACACTCAGAAACAAATTTCAAAACTAGAGATTGGGTTTTCGTTTTCTTGCCACATGAACCATGATTGAATGTTTATGTGATCATTGTTTCAGGAAAATCGCCGGTTGTGTTTATTGATGGCAGAGTTGCGGTTTGAGGTGAGGAGAGCAGATGATGTTGCTTGTGGAGGAAGCGGTGCAGTTGTAAAATTGAACCATGCGTCAGATAGCAGTGTAAGTGCAATTCTTTACCGTTTGGTAATTAAAGTGGTATATTACGTAAGTAGTGACTGTAACTGTGGCATTTGGTACCAAAGCGGCTGTTGTAACGTAATATCTTAGCTTTTTGACTTAACCACATTGTGTACTTCAAACTTTGGAATCTTACCAATGCTGAACTGGGAACCTGCAGTTAGTTTAGACCAAGAGTATCTTTAGCTGGGGGCAGTGAGGTTATGTATGCATAATGCATCTTGGTACTCAACCGGATCTAGAGTTATCCAAGTGAATTTCTGGGTTCGCCGGGAAACTTAAAAACCAAAGCTTGCGAAGTAATATTATGACTTACTTTGGCAGAATTTAACAATTATTATTTGATAATGTTTGTTTGAGCTGACTCTATTTTGTCATTCAAGACAAACCTATAATTTTGCTTCTCGGGAATTTGTGTTTGTTATGAATGGACATTAACTCATAAGTCCAGATCAAGAACGCTGAGAGTTGTTATCTAATCATTTAGGAGGTAGTTGAACCAGAAGCCGACGAGCAGCCAGGAATGGTACCTTATCTCCACGAGTTAGGTGAACTTTCAATAATCGAAGGTAATTAAATGTCAAAAAGTTTTGAAGCAAAACAGGGGGTTTTCCAAACTTCTACTCATTTAGGGTAATCCTGACGCTGTTTTTTCCTAATCTGTCGAAGTTATACTCAGGCCTAAAGCAAATGGGGGAAATTTAATAGCGACTTCTTTTTAACGGTTTTTGTGACATAGAACGATCGGGGGTATGGCTATTCCTCTAGGTTCGAATGATAGCTTATTACAGGTTACTCTCCAGAAAGCTTATGAAGAGCTTGCTGGGGTGAGAAGCTCTGTGAAAGCCGGCAGTGCGCCTTTGTCTACCAAAAAAGGCTTTGTTAATCGTGTGAAATTTTTAAAAGACTTTTATTTCTCTAATTTTAAAGACTCTGAAGATTCCACTGAGGAAGTGTTCCATGACGCACAAGAAGATTGATTCCAATTAAGGCAACGTGGGATACACACTGTTTTCTTCAGACGGTGGTTTATTGGTTAAAGAAATTAGTGAATCTACCTGTTGGTTTTCATTTGTGTTGCAAACCTTTAATACTAGTTGCATACCTGCGTGTAGGCAGGTGCTCGTTATGGTAAAAGTATGCACAGTTTTCTCACTCTTTTCAAATGAAAATTTATTGTGGATATGAAATTATCTGTGTGAAAGGCATACGAAATATGTTTTCTCCTTCACACAACACTTTTTCATGCTTTTCAACCAGTTCATGAAGTCTTCATTTGTAAACCTGTACTCGCGCTTGCGTTTTAGAGCCTCGACAGCAGTGAGCGACTAAATACGAACAAACACGTAGGTTAACCCTCTACGGAGTGCTTGAGTAACAAGTACTATAAGTTTTGGCTAATATGTATTCAATATACTGTCCAATAGCTGCTGAAATATCAAGTGATTTCTTGTACATAGTCTGAGATCAATTTATTGTATTTAGACGTTTTTAATGATGATAAATACTATGTTTTCCAATATTCTTAATGAATTTAGTGTCCAGATTCTAGGAGGAACGAAAAAATGTAGTGTTTCCTGATTTGGAGACGTCAATATTGACTTGTAATTTGGCGATTTCGCAAATGAATTGAAATACACAAGTAGCTCTTAAAAAAATACCATCTGTAACGCTGCGGTTCTTTAATCTTCAGTCTTGAGAGGCAAGCTTGTTATATTGATGGTAGTATGTAAATATGCATGAAAAAAAAATCGATTTTCGGTAATATATACCAAGTGAGATTTTAGAGAAAAATACAGTTTACATTAAGACGTTTTTTGATCGATCATTTATGATAGTGAGTAACGGAACGGTTATATGTAGATATAATTATGATAGACAGTCGAGGGACACTAAGCCAAAAGTCGATACTGGGTGATATATACCTTTCGAGATTTTAGAGAAAAACGCAGTTGACATGAAAACGTTCTCTAATTACTTATTTGTGGCATAGAGTTAATGAATTGATATTTGTAGATATATTTATTATAGACAGTCGAGGGACATTAAGCCAAAAGCCATTTTGAGAATATTTTGATAGTAATATGTTGACTTATTTAGAGAGAAAACGATTCTATTTTAATGGAAAAATTTTTCTAATATCACTTCAACTATTTTTCTCAAAATGTAGTGTCTTAAGCAATCGACGGTATAAATTTTTTGCTCGATTTATCATATTTCCAGTATGTAACAATTGATAAATTAAGTGTCGAGAGTGAAAATGTTTACTAAAGAAGGGTAGGCGTTGATATGGTATTTTTAAAAAGGTCACACGTCCCTGCTAAACCGTAAAATGAGCTGTTGTTGTTGTTGTAGTTATTTTTGTTTTCGTTTCTAGCAATACGCAAATTAAAATGTTATCTGTTGACCGTTTGAAGTTAATTATCTTGATCTTGAACAGTAACTTGACTATGTTGCTCTCCTCATCTTGTGTCTGGAAATACCCGTCGTGCTGTATGGAAGAGAAAGAACAGTCACCTTTTAGTCAGTATTTTGGTCAATAAGTAGTGTTGGCAGGAAAAAAGAATACTTACTGGAAGTTCTGAAACGGCTGCCTGTATCAGCAATAGTTTTGATGTCGTGTTCACTGGCTTTGGAAAGGCCACAAACTCTCCCCAGCCTCCTAAGGACACAAATGTATGATGCCCTATAGGGACGCGAAAGACCACAGTATACCCAGGGATTGAACACAGAGCACAAAAGAGACATCTGGGCTGATAGAGACTGGAGAACCTCGTGATGATGACCTGTGGCTAACTCTGCGGTGATAGTAAACTGTGTGGATAAACCAACCAAAAATCAATTTATGTGCCCACTCTGACCGGACTGAATGGACAAAGATTTCGCACTAAGGTTTTATTGGTGGGCGTATCCTCCTTCCTCTTTCCCCCTCCCCTCAATCCTCTTTACAGACAGAAAAAAAATGCTTCTCGGGTAACTGGCTAAAAGCTTGCAGAGGTGTAGTTTTGGCGGGCGAGTGCTCAGTAATATCTCTGTGAGTCATAGCTGCCACTTTTGATTCTCACAGCAGGGAAAGGCTGGGGAAAGAATGAGATTTTTTACCAAGGGGGTAGGCGACGGTCCAAAGGAAGGCGAAGGGGGGGTGGACCACTGAAGATGACTTTTCACTTTTTTCCGCTCTCTTCCCTCAACTTCCACTCTAGCGCCAGATCAAACATGGCCTGTCGAATAAACGATCACGACCTTTTACGTTAACTCGCCCCAATAAAATGCCTGTACTGCTGGTTAACGGGCTACAGAAACGAAAAGCTGGCGCATTAAAGATAGGCTTACAATGATTGGCATCCAGCTGACATAGAATAGAAACACCACTGATCCAAGAACCTTTGTAAACTGGCGGCTCTCCTTCACATTCCTATTGACACTGCACCGATTGACACTGGGATCTGTTTTTGATTCTCTGCGTCTTATTTCATTTTGTTCGCATTTTTCCTCTGTAATTTTGTTGCTGTCGTCGTCCTCTGCCAAAGTACTCATACCTCTTGTGGTGTTGCATGTTCTTTTGATATTGCTACCACCCTGAATACCATTTTCATCCATATGTGATATTCGCCTTTCATTTGCTGTCTGCATTTCCATAGCCTGAAGTCTGCCATTTAGAAAGGTCAGCGTCCTACCACGTCGAAGCCCATTGAATCGCTTTTCATATTTGCTCATTTTTCTTGCTACGGCGATGAAACAGGTCAACACCATTATGAGTTGCACATATCCTAATGTGGCTATGCATAGAGCGAAGCCTCCATTAAAGTTGAACGAGCAAATTCCCCTGTGAGCTAAAACTCTTCCCCAGCCCATTGCAGGAAGTGCAGATATAAATGCCCCCGACAACACGACACAAAGAATGAGTTTGGTTGCTTTGTCAGATGTGACTTTGGTCCGGTAATAGATCGGCTGTAAGGTTGCGCAGAAACAATCTACAGCCATTAATGACGCCACAAACGAAGCTGACAGGCGAAGAAACGAGGAAATCCAGTTATAAAAGTGGCACAGCTCGTAACTTATACGTCCACTCTGAAACCCTCGGTGATCGATTTGAAACACGACGATCGATATTAAAACGGGTCCTAAATCATTTAGAAGATCTATCACAGCTAACGAACCAACAAGCTGATCAGGAACTCGCCGGCTGCGAAATGATTTGATAGCAACGAGAAGAAGAACATTTCCAATAAAAATCATGCAGAAGATGACTGGCAAAACAAACAGAAAGCCACTACTGTATTGACCTCCTTTGTCACTTGTTATATCCGACCGTCCATAATTAGTTTCGTTCATTGCGACTGTTTTAACACCTCGGATAGAACGTTTAATCAAACTTCTAGAATGCAAAACCCAAGCTTTTGAATGAAATTAGACTTGCCAGAAAAAATACACTTGTCGCTGGCTCCTTAATTTCTCTCTAAAAAAAAAAAAAGAAGATAAATAGGTATAAGAAAAATAATGGCTAGTTATTTTAGATAGAGGAATTCTGAAAAGCTTTAGGAACATACTAAACGGTTGGACAAAATATCTCCTACCTAAAATACCAATTTGAGAACATACTGCATGTTTTTCGTTTTGTTTCGGCGTTCACTTCCATTTTCGCAATCAGATAATGATTAAGAAAAGCGACAGGATTTTGAGCTACTTAAGGAACATTTGCTTATTATAAATTGGCTAAAACTACTCTCAATAGGGCAGAAATGCGGCCAAAAACAAATCTCTTAAAACTTACTTTACCACATGGATATATGATGCTTTCTTATAATATTTCGGAAACAATGCTTCTTTTCGTAATAATGCAAACACCCAGTTTGCATCGTCCCACTATCACCATTTTGCCGCGCATTTAAATGTACGGGTTTAAGACAACCTCAGACAGCTGAATAGCAATCGAAAATTGAACTTTGCTCGTCATGAGAGTGCGTCTTTTACGAAGATCTTCAGTTTTCTGGTGATTATAGGTTCGGTTCTTTAAACTCTAAGTGCCCGCAGAAAACAAGACACCGTAACATTATCCATATTCAAGAAGGTTGAATCTTTTGAATAAATGTCTATTTAATGAATACAGTTGCTGTTTGTAGAAGGCAAGGTGAAAATCAAGGAAATGTCAACATAATCCCTTTTGTCATATACAACGCTTATCGTAACAAATCAGATGAGATTACTTTTCTTTCTTTTTCACATTCACTCCAAGCCCACGTCGGGGCATTCTACTACAAGAAATACATAAGATGCCGTTCTTTAGCACAAAAAAACTTTTGTTAACATCGGAGAAATTTTACCTTGTCTGTTTCCGAAAAAAAAAGGTAAAAAGTCACGTTTTGTTTGAATTAGATCATTTGTTTTACGAAAATAAACAATCCTGTCAAATTTTCCTACGTGTGTTGTTTAATACGCTGTAGGAGACATCCATAGAAGAGTTACAAGATATAAGATAAACATAATTTGGAACGACTTAATTAACGTCTTGACTGTCTGACTTTTAACTTTATCCAAACTTAGACTCCAAGTACATCTCCTCTGAGATGAGATTGTGATAAACCTGACAGTCCTCTTTTTTTAATAGCGGAGCTTGCAGCGCGTGCTGCGAAGCCTCATAATTGTAGAAAAAATAGCACTAATCTGTGAAGCCGAGAAAAATTTGGTCGGTATTCGACGGTAAAACCGCACCTACAAGCTACTGCTTCTAGCTTAAGTGCCAACTAGATTTCTGGATCAAATCTAACCATTACGTACATAGAGGGAAAGAGAGTGGCTAATGCGCATGCGTGATTGCGTACGTAATTCCATTTGTATGCATTAGGAAGCACTTTTTAATGTTGAAAAGTGAAAAAGCCAAGGAGATAGCAAAGGAGCTTGTTTTTATTTCTCTGAAAGCTGAGATTAACAAGTTTTTGGATTAGCAAAGTCCTCATTGACAAGACTTTCGAAAGGTTTAGATATGATTGATTTCATGTAAGTTAAGTGTTGTTTCCTGAGGTCATAATCTTAATGTTATCATCCTTAGAGCGCACTGAAGTTTCCATTTGAGATAGAAAGTATACAAAAAAGCCAAAGATTATGATGTTTTTTTAAAGGAAGACCACGAGACAGAGCAGGATCAGGGACCACAGCAGCGTAGTTATGAGGAACAAAACATGAGAATGGAATGAAACGCCTGATGACCGCAGAAAAGCTGCAATAATACAAGAAAAAAGTCAGAATACGCCTTATATACACACTGCGGCAACACTTACAACACAATCAATTGATCACCAACGAACAGATTAAATTTGGCCTTAAATAGGTAAGTATCTGCCACCCCAAGTTTACAAGGCTTATTTCCTTATGACCGATGATGGCCGCAAAATGTCTTTGATTTTTGGATACGTGTAGGTTATTGAATGGGCTCCGTCTTCATACAACCAAGGAGTGTATGCATAGCCAAATGGCTATCATCCTAAAGCTTTGTATGTGTGGCTAACAAATGTCCATCTTGTCACAGTGGCTAGACTTGGTGTGAAAGCTTACAATTTACCTCCATGGCCATCAGAGTACGATGCCATCTCATTATATCCTATCCCTTTCCTTCCGATTCTTCCTAATTCTATCCTTTCTGTCGAAATATTCCATTCTGTCCCAACCCATCCCATTCTATTTCAATCCAACCACTAACCTGCTTGACACATTTGGTTTGGGCTCAGAAGAAAACCCTTCTTGCACAGACATTTTCCTATCTGACAATATGAATTTTCGTCACACTCTGGAAAGCAAATTTCTGAGGACAATAATAACAGGCTTTAATTGCAGTATTGTTTGTTTACAGTGGGCACCAAAGACACATATATAAGCTTGAGCTTAGTTATCTCAGCTCTACGGCAGTAAAAAAAACTCCTTTCCAGAGGTGAAATTAAATGTTAAACATTACCTGAACAAGTTCCATCGGATTCTTTTCGATAACCGCCTTTACAGACACATTCATAACTACCGTTTAGGTTCTTACAACTTGAAAACTTAGGGCAATCGTATCTCATTTCCTCACATTCATCGATATCTATGTAAAACAAAAAGGACATATTTGTAAATTTCCATGCCCTTCTGTTTTAGATTGATTCGTCTTTGATATAAGTAACTAAATCGAGGAGGAACCCTTAGAGAATATTTCCTACTTAGAGCAAATGGGTCGATCTGTCGCTTCAATAGAGTGACAGGCAGTTAAGTTTCCCCTGAACTTGCTGAACTTTGCAGAAGAGAAGAATACCATAGATCCCTCAGGAGAGGAACCTCATATAACACTGACAAGTAGAAGGCTTTTATGCTCCTTGGAATTGTACCATGAAGTCAGAGGTGAAGGATAATTACTGAATATTTAAAGCAAAAAAAAAGATCCTCGCAGGTGGACTGCGATTTTTCGCAATTGCATAGAAGAAGCCGGAAAAAAAATTCAGGGATTGACGGGATTCGAACCGGTGCCTCCTAGATAATAGTTGATACTGCAACAAAGGAAGTTGGTGAATGTGTCCTACCCAAATAGTATCTGGGAATCTCCTCAAAGAGTTTATTCAGGATTCTTCGATGCAATTGCCAAAATTGCACTCCGCTAGCGTGGATTATTTCTTTGCTTGATTCTTATCCGCTAGTTAAATTAAAGTTATTTCATTTCAACTTATTAATAAAAATTTATGAAACAAAATTTTCCACGTCACCTTGGATTTAGCTTAGTGGGTGCGTAGATAGCGAAAGAGTTGCATTCAACCGAGAAGAGGCATTGGCACTGTTTTTATATCGTGCTCTTCACCTAATCATTACCTGTACAAAACAATTTGTCTGCGCGATATCCTTGGTGACAGCGGCAGGAGTAGGATCCAAATGTGTTTGTGCAAATCATATAGGATTGACACGAATGACTAATTGTGCATTCATCATTATCTGCGAGAAAGTATATAGAAATATCATGGTAAAAATTTTGAAATTCTTCTTAAACACATAAACACGCGTTTTATTTGAAATCGATATGAATGTCGAACAAAAATTATTTATTCTGAAGATTAAAATGTGCAATGTTTCTCACCAAAACATTTCTTTTCTGTTTTATCATAGGAAAATCCATGCGGGCATTTGCATTTGTATGATCCAAAAATGTCCTCACACTCTGCTACACCACCACATAAGTCTTTTTTCGCGCATTCATTTATTTCTACGATAACAAATGTCAATAGATAGTATAAGTGTATTGAGTCAAGTATTTATAGAGGGTTAAGCGCTCTAATTGACCATTCATAGCAAAGCGGGAAAAGAAAACAACACATAAATACTGTATTAGAAAAAACTGTGCTCATGGTCATGGGTAACGCCTTTAGCTTCGGCTTCGAGCCGTATTCAAGACCTCAAGCACAGTGTATTACCATACGGACCTCCTCCCGGCCGACTAAGCTCATTTCACGATAAAAGATATTCTTGAAGTGTTTTATCACATTCATAGCAGCTTGCTCGTTTATATTAGAAAGTCACATCAACCAAAAGTCACCGTAACAGTTTTTTCCACTGTCCTCGTCACTCCTGAAGCCAACTTCACAGTTGCAGTGGTAAGATCCCCGAGTGTTTGAACAAACGGAGTTTGAACCGCAGATACTTTTGTCTAGTTGACATTCATCTGTGTCTAAAAGATGAGGAAAAAGAAATTAAGTTATCAGTTACCAACTTGAATTAAGTACATGCGGCTGAACAATTAAGAACGGCTTCCACAATTTGGAAGAGTTCAACCGTTCTTCCCACCTAGCTTAGCCGGGAGTAAGCTCAGCGGCTGAATCACTAAGCGAACAAAATTAAAAATCGAAATGGCTATGAAAAGTTTGAGCCAAGCGCGAGGCTATCTAAGGTTAAGTTCTGCGGTAAACAGAACCTGTTTCGTTTTCACTTTTGTTGTTGTTGTTGAACTGATAACTTGTAAACAAGAGAGTGCTCTCTTGTTGCATATCAGGGTTAAACGGAGAGAAGAAGTAGTGAGCTGGAGCCATTTAACCGCTTGCTACTTGTAACGATTGAGCAGGTAGTACAAAAAAAGAATTGCCATTTCTAAAGGAAACAATCTCCAAATCACTGTTCTCTTTGTTAAATAATGATGATGAAGACAATGTCCTTACCAACACAGATCTTGCCGTTGAAATGATAGCCTCCTTTGCAATCACACAGGTCAGTACCATTGAAATCTTTACAAATTGCATTCTTTTTGCACTTGCCATTGGGGCAGCGAGGTAGTTCTGGTATGATAGAGAAATCTTGCTAAATTCAATTCCATACGCTTGAAAAAAGCATTTTCAGAATAAGTATTATCATTTAATTAAATGCAGCCTAAAACAAATGTTGTCAACGGGTATGAACCGGTTTTAGATTTACAAAAATCAGCCTATAGCGGAACCTGTTGAAGAGATGTTGAATAGCAATGATGGTCGCTTAAGGGGCTAAATAACTGCGTTCATCTTAACCTCATAAAGAGCTGGTGACAGCCTCTCTTACTTAAGCAGGATTTGTAGCCATCTCCACCGAGTCCATGGGAACACGTGCACCTATAAGAACCAGGGGTGTTAGAACACGTGGTGTTCACGTGACAAGAGTTTTTCATTGCGCATTCATCGATATCTAGAGAAAAATAATAAAAGCGATAAGCTTACAAGGGTGACAGACGCAACACTAGATTTCTATCACAGAAATATATATATAAACAGAGTGCTTGTAAGTGAGTAACCGATCCTCCTTGATAAAATGCCATTCAAGCAATGGAGGTGGCCGGTGTAGCTGGACCATAACAACAATTCCGGTTATGACGAGACCAATCCATTTCTTACTTTTAGGAAATATTTGTGAAACGATAACAATGATTTGGTATGAATACTAATTGTGAATTCGTCAAGAAAGTTTTGCTGTTTGTTCGCATCACGCACGAAAGACCATCCCTTTTTAACAACGCCCATCCCAGTTCTTTCGGGACAAACATGGAAGGACATGCAATTTAACTTTCACACTGCGATCCAACCGATTGCAAGTTACACGTCGCATTCATTTTGCAAGAGGTACAGAAAACTAACCTTTACATTCAAATTTAAGGCCACTTTTGTCCAATACATATCCACTCTTACAGGTACAGTTGTAAAAACCACGTGCATTGACACAAATGGATGTATTTCCACATATGTTTGACATCGGTTTTTCGCACTCGTTAACATCTGAAATTGGTTAGAGGTTAATTATTCAATTCACCGAATTTATTGGTTTGTACATTTAATGCAATACAAAAGACATGATTAAGAAAAGGTCGGGAGGGAGGAGGTGGAGAGGAGATAGAGAACACAGGGGCGCCACGTTAATGTTCTTATAGCTGTAAGTAGTTTGCACTTGTCATCGACATCAGCGCTTCCTGATTGACAGAACCAAATCAGTACATCAGAGTTAAGATGTCGAAAGCAAATAATCACACCTCTCTCAGCCTTTATGCCACAAAGACTGTCTACCCCCTACCCAAGATACGTTTTTTTTAAACAGCAGCCGGAGGGGTATTCCTATTTGACTTCAAATAAGAGTAAACGTCAGAAATGTTTCTATTTTCTTCTTTAGATGGCATCGAAAAACTAAAACATGCAACTTCGTCATACCTTCACAATGAAGAAGAACTCCTTTATGACCTAACAATGGATTAAATCCGTATGGGCACTCACATATGTAAGACCCAAAGGACGTATTACAGAAGGAGTTATTTGCAGCACAGGCGGGAATGCAGTCCTTTATCTCTGTCGATTCGGAAAACCAAGGACATATTAAAATCGCGCGATAATGAAGTATGGCAAAATTTGACTAAACAGTTCAATGAACATGAGCAGATGGGCTTCTTTTGAAACGTTCCGCAATATAATGTAAGCTTTCAATTCTGACTTCACATCTGCCGAGACCTTTTCATTTAATATGGTGGAAAAAAACCTGACTTTACAAACCTTGCAAAATCAAGCCCAATTTTACAGTTTTTACCGTAAACTAAGCTTCACAACGAGGTTCGAACTGGTTCTAATCAATATTTGATATAGGAATAAGCTTTTTCTGTTCTTACATGTCTTATTACCCGACGAAAGTTTAAAAAACTCTTTCCCATGTTTTTCTGCAATGAGAACACCAACACAGAACCATAAAAAGTTGAAATGCCGAGCCACTAGCAGACGTAATGCACAAGTTAATTCGACTTTTCGGGCTGTTGAGTGACGCTCTTTACACGCCGTGCCCTCTCTTTTCTTGAATGAGAGGCTACTGGTAATATTTTGTGGACTAAGTACGAGACTGAGGATTCGTCTTTAGCCCTTTTTCCCGGAATCGATATCGATAATGATGATTGTAAGATAGATATTTGTTGATATAACCATTTAAGTTTTATATGCATAAACATCTTCACAAGCAGAGAGAGATCAATATCAACATGTTACTCCAATTGTCCAAATGCAACGGAATCGCAAAGACTAACTGAAAGTGTACTTGTTGTACAAATCAAGACTTTGCCCAACTTTTTACAGTGAACAAATTGTTTTGGAGAATTCAGGTATTAAATGAATGAAAGTTACATTAACATATCTAATGGTAAACAAACACCTCACGATTCTGACTTTTTGAGATACTTTATGTGAAAGAATTATGGGGTTACAAACTGGTTTGTAATGTTTGCGACTCGCAAAAGCGTTACTCAATGTGCCTTTTGGTAGAGTTAGGAAAATCTGGACCGCGCAAAGATCCAATCAGATTTCAGGATTCGTTACCGTGCGAATAAAGCAAATAAATTGAATTTCATTCATAAGACATCCTCTATCAAATTCGATATATCTACTTTCGGGAAATAAAAATAATGATAATGATACTAATACTTGTACTAGCAATAATATTATAATCAGTAATAATCATCATCATAATAATAACAGAGTAAGAGAATTACCTTCACATTTGTTTGTTCCAATCTCTCTGAATCCATCACGGCACACACACTTATAGGATTTCGTCCCATTCACACATTTGAAGTTTTTTGGACAAATATTCGGTCTTTTACAATCATCAATAGCTTGGATAAAAAAAGTAAAAAATTTGCAATGGATTATCAAAATGAAATACCTTTGGGCTAGGTTTTGCCCCCTCAAAAAGTGTGTGGTAAATTATTAAAAGGTCAAAATTATAATATATTATGAGTTTCTTTTGGATGCAGGTTATTATTTGTTGTTAAGTCGAAATAAATTTCTGCTTGTTGCTGTATCTCCTTCTGTAAAAGATACTGGTACATACCAGACATGCTGCAACATGTAAAAAACTAACTGAATTAAAGGGTTGGCCCTGAAGTTGACCTCTTGTTCAAGAGAAAATCTTGGCTTCCCATCGGAATTATATTCTTAGGCTTGCTGTCAAAACGGAATCTATATTTTAGGTGCGGATCAGGGAGTAATTTTCAAAGATGAATCTTGAGGACAATGGAACAAATAAGTTTTAAAGAAGCATAAATCTATTGCAACCAGGGATGCTATATTGTTACCTAGCAAAGGACCATTGTAGATTTCCACTTCACGGAACTGAAGTTCCAGACGTTTGTTCGAAAGGGCAAGGGTAACGAACCTTGCTTTGATATTTTTGCGAAGAGTTATGGTCTGAACAGGCTCTCTGGTTGGAGAATCCAGACTAGCTACATGGCGTCCTTTCCCAAAAGCATTTTCACCAGCATCTGTTAATGATAAAAATAACCTAATATCTGCTTCAAACTGACGAATTTCTCGGTAAAATGTGTAGAAATTCTCTTTCTTTTTTAAATTTCAAGTAACAATTTTTCTCTTCCGCTCTCCCCTTTGAATTCCTTTGGTATTCACGCACGACGCGCGTGATTTCACAAATTAGCCAATCACGTTAAAGAAATCGAAATTTGGAAAACTGACGTGGACACTTTTTGCTTACTTTTAGTTTGTTTTTCGCGGAGTTTTAGTTGTTTTTGAGCTGTCGTTCGCGTAAATTTGTTACTCATTTGCTTGGAAATTTAAGAAGTTTAGGACTTTTTATTTTAGCCAAATGTTGTGGTTTATTTAAGAAGTTTATTACATATTTTTTATGGAGTTTGGACTCTAGTCTCTTTTTTCGTGAATGGATTTTTTACATGGTGCTGAGACCTTGGAATTTTGACTGACTGAAGAATTCACTCTCTCTGGAAAAATGGCTGATGAAGAATTGAAAAAGAAGAGAAAGATCTGAGAAGGACATAAAGGATACGTTACGACGACTTTGGAAAAAGTAAAAGCCTTACTCGATGAATTTGAACCTCCTCCCGTGAATCAATTGAAAACTTATCGGATTGCTCGTACGGAAAACCTCAATGTCCTTGTAGCCCTGGACGACGAAATTCTGTCTGTATAACAGAAAAGCAACTCGAAGATGAAATCAAGGAAAATGGAAACTTCAGAGAATCTTTTCATCAAATAATAGTGCAAATTGACGAAACGCTCCACGTAGTTGAACTGGAAGAGGCTGGAAATACAGATAAGTCAATTCCTCTCTCTAAGCCTAATTCGCCCACTAAAAGTCTTGCAATTGGAAAGGCAAAACTGTCGAAGAAATTCTATGGTGATCCCATTTCCTTCAATACATCCCAGAAATCGTTTGCAAGTGCTGTCGATGACAGCAGCAGAAAATTTCGAGTCAGCCAAATCCATTCTGAAGAAAGGATTTGGGCAACCCTGAGTAATCATTAATGCTCACATGGAGGGATTAGTGAAAGTATCAGCTGTAAGAGTGGACAATGTCTGAGACGTCTACGCCTTTTTTACGATTGAGTTGAAGCACACGTTCAAGCTTTACAAGCCCTAGGAATTAAATTCTGCATTGTATGGGAAGCTTTTGATTCCCCTTCTCATGGGAAAATTACCACCGAATATGCGCTTGATAATTTCAAGGGCCGCGGATTAACCACAATTGGATTTGGTTGTTTTACTTAAGGCCTTCGACCATGAAACTGAAGCGAGAGAGCGATTGGGGGCCGATTGGAACAAACCCGACCGATCCTCCTACCTCAAAGAAGTATTTTTCAGTGCCGCCAGAAAAAGGTGAAGAGTTTTCGTCCGCTTTAGTTCTGATTAATCAGTCTGAGGGATCTGTAACCTGTATGTTCTGTGAGCAAGGGCACCCCAGCGCGAGTTGTGGTGTAGTCACTGACATCGAAGCCAGAAGAAACCTGTTGAAACGAGAGGGCCGCTGCTTTATGTTTACGTCGCAACCATTTGGCAACCATTTGAGCCGCATTTGCTCAGGAGGACATTACATGACAATTTGCGATACAGCCAACAGCAGTCGCGTCATTTTAGAAAATGCTGCTCAAGGAAGTGTTGTAATGACCATCAATGAAGCAAATCGCTGAGAAACCAGATCCATTATCGGAAGGCTGTGATTCAAGAGCAGATGTTCTAATTGGAAACGATTTCTATCAGTCTTTCTTCGTTGGAGACACGAAACGGGCGTAATCAGGTCCTGTGGCGGTGAAGACGAGTCTTGGATGGGTGCTATAGGCCCCACACACCAGGTTCAGATACTAGTGTTCATTTGATCAAATGCCAAACCTTGCGGCTAGACACCTCCTCACGTGACGACACTGTTACCGAAAAGAGAATTTATGACCCGCTGCTAGAACAAGTAAAAAAATTCTGGGAGTTAGAAGCTATCGGTGTGTCAACACAATAAGAGACAGTGCATGAGAAGTTCTTGGATACTATTCACCTTAACAACCACCGCTATGAAGTCTCTCTTCCTTGGAAGGAACAGCACGCATTATTTCTGGATAACTATGCCCGAGTCGTATTTGGCGTCACAAGTTCTCCTTTTTGCTGAACGCAACAATCAGACACCATACGATTAAGTATGAAGCTAATGATTCTCGCCTGGCTTCTGTTCTAAAACGTCTAAGAAAGAATCTTGGATTATTTGAAGAGTGCAACCGAATCATTGAAGAGAAATCTTAGTGGGGATTAATCTCCGATGTCGATCCTGATATACCAATCCAAGTTGGTGACGTTCATTATTTACCGTCGTCCAATTGTGCGAGAAGATAAACAGACGACTAAAGTGAGGATAGTCTATGATGCATCCGCCAAGTCTACTGGTCCAGGGTTAAACGACTGTCTTTGTGCAGGTCCATAATTACTTTCTAACATACCCAGTGTTATGATACGTTTCAGATACCACCGAGTTGCTATGGCGGCCGACATTTAAAAAACCTACCTAATGGTCCAGATCAAAGAAGCTGACCGAGATGTTTTGCGCTTTCTTTGGATAGATGATACTGATAATACAAATCGAAACATTGTTATGAAACGTTTCGACCGAGTCTTATTTGGCGTCACAAGTTCTCCTTTTTGCTGAACGCAACAATCAGACATCAAGCGACTAAGTATGAAGCTAATGATCCCCAGCATTTGAGCTCTACAAAAAAGCAAGATCAAGAATGAAGGAGGCTAGATTCAATTTAAGGGAGTGGATGTCAAGTTCTAAGAGGCTGATGGAATAGATCGACGAAGAAGAAGGAGTACCAGTTAAAAAAGTGGTTCAGCTATCCGAAGAAGACAGTATGTATGCGCAGACTCAGTTTGGAGTTCAAAGTTGTTCCGCATTCGTTTCAAGCGAGAAGAAAATTATTCGATTGAATTGGAACATTGAAAGAGACACTTTCGTTTTCCGATTTGACTGGCTGGTGGAATTCGCTAAAGAACTAATCTTAAACAAGCGCACTGTACTCAAGGTTGTGGCCAAGTTGCACGATCCTCTTGGTTTGATTTCACCCCTGTTCATCACAATCAAGACACTCTTTCAGGATTTATGCAAATTAAAAATTGGTTGGGACGACCCTCTTGACGAGGAACTTTCTTTGAGGTACTCGCAATGGTTATCTGATCTGTCAAAAGCTGAATGCATCACGATCTAACGATGTTATCTTCCAGACGAGAGCGTAATTTCACTTCAACTACATGGCTTCGGAGACGGCTCTGAAGTGGCTCATGCAGCAGCTGTTTATCTCAGAGTGGAAACGAGTCACGGAGTCTCGTTCAGTTGTCGATGAGTAAGTCAAGAGTCGTATGGCTTGCAAAACAAATCTTTCCCAGGATTGAGCTCTTAGCGTCACTTACACTATCCAGGTTAATTACCCTGGTCCGTTCAGCCCTACTTCCGTTGGTTAAGATTAATGAAGTATTTTGCTGGACAGATTCCACTACGGCTCTTCACTGGATCAAGGGGGTGTACAAAGAATACAAGCAATTCGTTGAGAACAAAGTCAAAGAAATTCGTCAGAATGTGCCGCCCGAAGCTTGGAACCATTGCCCTGAATCTCAAAATCCCGCAGACTTGCCCTTCCGTGGTATGGGATCAGATGCGTTGAAACAGTCACGATTATGGTGGCATGGTCCATTTTGGCTAGTGAAAGAAAAGAAGATTTGGCCCTTCTTCGGAAACTCCCACGAGCCTTAGAGCTTACTTTGAAGAAATGCGTCTGAAGGACAAAAGAAAACCTACCTCTGGGCTTCATGTAGACTCTTGGACGATATCGTTGACAAGTATCTTCGAACCCCGGAAATACGGAGACTTTAAGAATCTGACACGTCTAACAGCACTGATGCGATTCCATTTAACACCAAGTTCCCCATTTTCCTGCCATCAGATCACTACCTAGCCGTTCTTATCATTCATGATTGTCACAAGCGAGCCCTACACAACGGAGTGAGAGAAACCTTGGCAGAACTAAGGTCTTGATTGTGGATTGTGAAAGGAAGACAAGTCGTTCGTAAGATTCTTTTAAAATGTGTGGACCGCAAGAAGATGGAGGGGACAGCATTATGCTATCCCGCCGACGGCGCCCTTACCTCAATTTCGTGTGGAAGAGAATCCTGCCTTCACCAACACTGGACCATTGTTTGTCGAAATAATGGTATGGAGAAATTCTACATCGTGTTTTACACTTGTGGAAGAAGCAGAGCCATTCATCTTGATGTTGTACCAGACCTGAGCACGAAAACATTCATTACAAGCTTTACACGTTTCATCCGCAGACGAGGTATACCATAGGTGGTCGTGTCAGAAAACGCCCAAAACCTTAAAGACTGCTGCTAAGTTCTTATCATTCCTCTTTGAGTTACCAGAAGTTCAGAGTTTCTCCTTGAATCACAAGATTAAGTGGCGATTCAATTTGGAGTTAGCGCCGTGGAGGGGCGGTTTCTTCGAACGCATGTTAACCGTTGTCTCGAGAAAATTTTTAAGAACGCGAAGTTGACGTATGACGAGCTTTTGACTGCAGTGGTGGAAGTGGAATGTGTACTGAACTCTAGACCACTCAACTATGTGTCCGCAGACAATAAAGAGGAACCCCTGACGCCTTCTCATCTGTTGACAGAAAGGAGACTTCTGTCCATCCCTGACAAATGTGCATTTGCTGAAGAAGATAAAACGGAAGTCCAACTCCTCACCAGAAGGTAGCGTTATTTGTCTAAATTTCTAGGTCAATTTTGGAACCGTTAAAAACGTGAGTACGTGGTGGATCTAAGATAGCACCACAGGCCAGCGTCGCACAATTGCTCCAGGTGATATTGTCATCGTAATGGAAGAAGGGAACTCGAACCGTAGTACTTGGAAATTCGGAAGGATTGTAGAGGTGCATCCTGGAAACGATGGTTTCGTACGAGGAGCTACTGTGGAAGTTGCTTCGAGCACTGGCGAAAGAAAACTTCTGAAAAGACCCTTACAAAAATTGTTTCCGTTAGAAGTTCGAGAAGTCGGGGGTAGTTACATCTTTGCTCGGAAATTTAGGAAGTTTCGGAGTTTTTATTTTAGCCAAATTTTGTGGTTCATTTAACAAGTTTAATACCTATTTTCTGCGGAAATTTGGACTCTAATCTCTTTTTTGTAAATGGATTTTTTACAAAATGCCTATAAATAAGTTAACTCCGAAAAGGGAAGCAATAAAGGATAAACTATTAAGATGATCGATTTGCAGGGGAAAGCCATGGTTACTTACCAGCTTGAATTTTTAAACCCTTGAGGTGTTGCGGTTTGTAGCCTGTGTCTGTCACAATGCGCACCAGATGGATTTTGCATAATGCTATTAAATCAACCGACCACCATTTTATTTGTTTCGAACGCGGTTTGACCCTAGTGGAGAAGGGTTGGTCTGAAATGGAAAAGAATCAACAGTCACTCATAAAGTTACACAAAAATTTCTTGAACAATAATTTTGCAACAGTTAAAGGAGATTGGCCGAAAAGATTAAATAAAATGTCTTTGATGCTAGATTAGAGTAAAATACGTCTATCATGAGTTTATTTGACTCTACGTAAATTTGTCCCGGTCTTTTTCTTTTTAATATTGCTGCACTCACCAAGTTTCTGATCACAGCCTCTGTATGATTCCTTTTCATTTGTCGAGGACTTTGTAGGACGCCTTCCTGCCAGGTTAACTAAAGGAAATGAAATTTTAAGTGTGAGTAATACAATCATCGAACGCTAAAGTTCTGTCTAAAACTTTGTATGAGAAACTTGATAAAAATCAATGAAGAAAGCGTATTCTTACTTATCTTCATCGGGAAAACCTCCACTTCACAGAGCTGTATATTATCTATATACTTCGATGGCCACCTGATAAGCATTCTACTTCCAGTAACTGGCTGATTACAGTCAAAGTAATTTCCTTTTCTTGCCCCATATGCATTCGTAACAAAACATACTTTGGTATCTAACAACAAGTAACATATTGAATAATTCCGTCAACTTTCAAAGATACAAGCATAACGGCAGGTCGAACAATTTTTAAGCGGATTTGCCTCGTTTTCGTAACTCTTGGGGAATAAATTCTTCGAGGATGGTTCAAGAGCATGAAATTGACCCTTAAATTTAAATTACTATTCTTGACGTCATCGCTGTTTTTTTTTGTTCAGTAGTCATCCAATATCGAGTATGGTCAACTCGAAGGACAGGTAATCTTGGATGATGTCATGCCCCTTGTAGCTCTACATTAGGACACAATACATACTTGATTTTTTATAAACTAGCAACTGAAAAGAACGAACGGGAAAACAAAACACCAAAAAAAAAAAACAAACAAACAAACAAACAAAAGGATGGAATAAGTCAAAAAGAATACTTACCAATATCAATTGACGTATTTTTCCATTCAAATTTGCCGTGAAATAGCATGAAAACACGCGCCACTCGAACATTTTCTCCAAGGTTCACACTCCAGAACCGGTCCCTACCGGTTTTGGCTTTAAAACACGTGCTTGCATCTCCGTCGATAGCAAAACGACTCGTTGCAGGGCCATATGACTGTTGCTTCGTTCCGATAATGTTTCCTGTACATTGAGAGTAAACAAGTTGGATACAAAAGCTAGCGCAGCCAATCAAAGACCTCAGAGAGGTCTTTCTATTTAGCAAATAGTTTTGAAACGAGGACTAACAGTTAATTGCGTGGTTTGATGGGTATAGGTCGCCCAAAAATCAACTATTTTCAGATACCGTATTAATTCGATAACCGCCGCATTTTAGAGCAGAAATATTATTAAACGTCGCCCTCGAATAAACGCCGCGTCATCACGCGCCGTTTATTCGCATAATAGACTCAAAAAACACACAGCAGACTACCATGGCAATGATATACAGGTAGGTGGTTGATCGCTATTAACCTGGGACTCCTTCGAGCGTTACATCGAAGAAAGCATGTCCAGATATATCCAGGCACCGAACGTTTGCTGGAACAAGCTGTTCAAGGCCGCTTGAACTGAAAAGTCTGATGAATGGCTGAGTACCGTGGGAATTCACAAAGAAACAGTTGCCGGAAATTTGAAAGCAACCCCGAGTTTTGGCAGAGTTACCCACAGAGGTCGTCAAAAAATCTCTCTCAAGCTGCACGTTGAACCTTCCAGCGGACTGGTCGAAAGGCGATACGCTTCCCTGTCTTAAGGACGAACAGCCTTGTAGCAGTGGACGATCAATGCTTCGATTGTAGTTAGAAATTCTGAGCGGACCTTTTTAAATGTACCAGTTCTGATTTCGAGGAAGCATATCCAAGATTACATCTTTTGAACTCGGATGATGGAGAGGACAGTGACATTGAAATTAAGTTAACTTTATTCACTTTATGTATTGCATTAGTATTAACAAGCAAATTGTGAAACTGAAAACGATATAGAAAATGACAATCACTAAAACAAGTTCCTGTCTTTAAAAACTATAATGGGCATTTACCATACTATTGTTTGCAAGAAATGAACTGGATTTTAAATAAACGCCGCACTTGAATAAAAGCCGCACTCGAATCACGAAAAATTTAATAAACGCCGCGATTTTTAATCAAATAAATATGATTCACTAATTAACTTTTCGACATCGTGCGCGTAAGTTATGATTCGAGTCAAGTGAAGAGTTGCTAGTCTGTTTAAGTCTAAGTAGTTAGTACGACTTGAGTAGCATAGCTCAGTTGTGATTGGTTAGTCTTGATCCGTCGGTAAAAATTGCGCATTCCGTTCGGCGTGTTCGTCACTTCAATGTCGTTAATGATTGAGTGCATTATGTATGTAGTTGTTAACATCTGTTAGGAGGAATACATTCATTGGTTGATAAACCAGGCTTCCAAGGTCAATTGTTGAAAGCAATTCGTGCTACCCTTCAATGAATCTTACACCAAGTGGCAATACTGAAATGCTGTCAAAATCAGAGGTGATCTGCTTCAATTGATTGCCATGGCCGTCGTTATTCAAGGCTTAAAAAAGAACATGTCAACTGTGGTTCTTACCATATGAGTTAGCGTACACTTCAACTTCACATAATCGCAGCACTGGGGCTTTAGTAGTTATCTTGACAGAATTTCCAAAGACATAGAGTTCTGGGTTACATCCATAGCTCGTCTCTTTGCCGTCAACGAGCAATTTCACAACTGCGCATTTCATGAAATGATTCCCGTCACCTTAAAAAACAACAATATTTGATAAAGAAAAAGAGAGGGAAAAGATAGCACGGAAATTACTATAAGGGGGGAGTCAAAAGTTTGTACAAAATGAAATGCTAAATTAGTGAGTGAAGAACCATATACTTCAAAGTGATTATCCTTCGAAAATTTTAGTTTGGAGTTTAATTATACCGCCATTGTTCACTTCCTTTTTTTTCGAAATGGCAGTCAGCTAAGCATGTTCCTGTTAAAGATTATCCAATGCTAACATATCTGTTGGCCGCTTCAGAGACATATTTTCTTGACTAGCTGGTCCCACTTACTGACAATTTTTTTATTTTGCGTCTTGCGCCAGAATATGCTTTACTCCCAGCGCATTTGCTATTAAATGATATCATGAACCCAGGTGTTGTCATACCTACGAAAATTCCCACGTCTTTCAAGCCGGTGTTTTTTTTTTTAGTTTGCTTCTCTGCAGACTGAATTCGAACCAAAGACACAGGTTGTAAGTCACCAAGATATACAATCAACCAAGGTTTGTCTTCTGTGTGGGACCTGAAACACGTCCTAGGATCGCCATCCACCACAAACCGAGGAAAAGCCTCTTTCTGTTTACATTTCTCCTTTTCACATCCCTCAAGATTGTCAGTCGAGGAAGCAATCACTTTTTTCAGTAAGGCAAGATTCTGTTTGCTATGCCATATCTGTGGTGGCCGTCCTGATGACCGAATTAAGCGAAGTCAATTACATGGTAGTGCAACTAGAGTAGTTTTCTATTAAGTGTCGAAAGCAAACCATGTTGACTTTGGTTTTGCTTGACTTTGCTCTTTAATTGGTCTAGAAAACACGCGCACGTTCTTAACCAATTAGATTCAAAACTAGAACCAGTCCTGGTTTGAACACTCGCGTTTCCCCGCGTTTTATACAGTTTGGCCAGTTTTTACTTTGAGCTCTCATTGGCTTTTGGTAATGTCGTCCTTCGCTCCGATTGGCTTTTGTGATTACTTTGGTTTGAGTTTTCTGAAACTCGTCTGAAACTGCTTTTTTTATTATTGTTATTATTATGATTTCTATAATTATCATCATTATTGTGATGATGGCGATGTTGGTTATTGCTATTATCTATTAGCTTCCTTTTTCACCTTTAATGCATTTCTCTCCAGGTAATACATAGTTCTCAATGGGAAGTTTTGTAGAACTCGATGAGACAAAACCAGGATTACACTTGCAGTAGTAGGAGCCAGGAGGAAACAGTGGACTTATGAATTTCGTGTCACACTTTGATCCATGTAAGTCGCCACATTTGTTTTTCAACCGACAAATGTCACCTGTGAAGAAAAAATGACATTGATACATGTATCTGACTGACTCGCTTGCCTACCATTCTTGAAGTCTATGATATGGAAGAACAACAATTAGAACAAGAACATAGTCAAAATTCGACCAGCTAACTATGTATTTGGAAAAAAATTTGGATTAAGGCATACTTAGAAAAAAAAAAAAAAAAAAAAAAAAATTTAGCGGTCGCAAAGTTCTATAGTCAGAAGGAAATTAGTCACCCACTGAGGGTAGTTCGACTGTGTTACACATGCATCCACAATCCGGAATCAAACGATCGATGTCCTTGAATCCAGATGTTTGCTTAGATATGTTGAATCAAATAGAAAAGAAAAGCGGTTGCTATTTAACACATTGATTTACTTATCTCTACGTACATTTACCTTTCATGCGCACATCAATTCTGATACATTGGAAAGTATGGTTTCTCTTCTCATTTGACAAAGCTATTGAAACGTTATAAATATGGAACAAAGTTAACCATGCTATCATATCTAGAGTCGATTGAATTCGGGACGATGTTGATGAAAACCCACACCCCCCTCTTGAAAAGCGCCACGTAATAGAACAAAGCTGGTAAGGAATAACCGTGCGATTAGTCGTAAAGATGTCATTATATGAACTGTGTATCTGTAAAAAAAGCTGTGCAATACTCCTCTCGAAACCCTTTTGATGTATTAAGTAGGCTCCATAGGGATTTTTGACCTAGCGAGATCTGGGTGCGAACATAGCGGGAGCTTAAAAAGTGTCTACATGAGAAACAAACATGGTGGCTCGATACGATTGCACGATTGTTACCTGAAAAGGTGTGTTAAAAACAGTTCACAACACAATACGGTTTTTTGGTGATGGAATCTAAGGTTTCCAGCAACTGCTCCTGTAATATTCATAGGCCTTCTACGCCTGAAAAAGAGGTCAACCGAAAAGAAAACGCCGCGGGAAAGGAGGTTGCCAAAGGCGACAGATTCGAAAGGCTACGCATGGTCAGATACTGATCTTAGCGAAGTTCTTTTCCATTACGCAATGTTTTGCGACAAAGAAAATAGGGATCTTCAGTGAAATTTCCTAAGGTTTGCTGGACCGTTACACATATTTGTGCCCTTCCTAGTGCCTGTTAGTGAAAAAAAATTATACCATCAAAAGTTAAGATCGAGGAAGAAAACACAAAATTGCACATTTCACAAATCGTGAAAATTTTGGGAGATTTCACCCAAGCAAATTGAAGAAAAACAAAGGCAAAGCCAAATTATCGCTGGCGAGTACCTCTCTTCGTGAAGCCTTAGATTAATAACGAAAATCATTTTGAAAATATCTACTACAGCAAATGATGGTTCGAACCTTGCTCATTGTCTTTTGATGACTTTTAGTGACCTTGAAAAGCGAAAACATAAAAAATTTTTAAAATAACAATACGCTGGCGCGTCAACATTGAGCAAAAACCCTATGGAGCCTCCTTAAACCAACAAAAGCAACGTCACATGTCAGCATGGATCGTGCCTAGAGACATCCTTTAGGATGATATCAACCTCCCTTTACCCTCCTTCCAGCTTGCCCCTATCAATACACTGTCACGTTCTTTCCACTATTGAACAAAAAATTTTTTCTTCATCATTAGAATCAGCAACCAATAGAAGGTAGAGGAAAAGTATTAACTCGAGCTCAATGGCCCACTCAGCTGGAACTTATCCCGGTTTCCATGTAACATGAAAACGACGAGGAGTATTACTACTCCCCCCTGGATGGGATCCAGGGGAGAGTCTATCTCAAGGTTACCCCCCTAGTATTTCATCTGGTTTCCCTGACAACTCGCCGGTACCTATTTATACTCCTGGGTGGATAGAGGCATTGTGGGAGTAAAGTGTCTTGCCCAAGAATACTACACATTGACCCGGCCTTCTCGCCCTGGAGTCCAGTGCACTGCATGACCGTCAGGCCTTTGCTTTTCCCACACAGTAACCAATAAGGGAGATGAATGGTTCCCTTACTTGTGTAACGAGTTTTGATCGTGACCACTCCAGAGTCTTGAGCCTTGCCAACAGCTCCTTTGATGTACTTTTGTTTACTTTTGCCTCCATTTGATGTACATTTATCGTTACGGCTGTCTTTTCTCTGCTTCATAGGGATCAGTACCGCAGCGTTAAAGGTGAGGCTTTCTGTTCTTGGTGGAAGATCGATTACAAGGTCTTTTCTATCCACTCTTACTTTCCGAGGAGGATTAACCAAATCGATCGCAGCGGAGACCTCGTCTGGTGAATGATCTCTAAAGTTATATTGACCTTTCTCCAGCATCTCTTTATCGTTCCGATTGTTGTTAACAAGGTACTTTATGTTTTTGTCCATTGCATCAGCTAAAGATGAATTACATTACTATACTAGTGTAGATGTCAATTGATAGAAAATCTACGCATTCAGCTGCAACTTTAAAATTTTGGTAACAAATTGTTATTAAAAAGGTACTTTATGTTTTTGTCCATTGCATCAGTTAAAGATGAATAACATTACTATACTAGTATAGATGTCAATTGATAGAAAATCTACGCATTCAGCTGCAACTGTAAAATTTTGGTAGCACTTACCATTCAAAAAGACTTTTACGTCACATAGTTGGAAGTAGTCTTTTGCTGCAATAAAGACATATCTTCCCAGCATTGGCTCAGCACAGCTGAACGAGGTGGGCGTCAATCTCGGGATGCGACGACTTTTGAGACACAGTGGGTTGGACGTAAGATTAGCATCTCTATTTCCTATAAAAATGTATAATTTAAGCGCTAGCCATGGCTATCCATTCCATTTATGATTTTTTTTCTTTCTGTATTTTGATTTGTTTATTTATCTTTTTATCTATTCCTTCATTTATTTATCAATTGTTTATCACAAACCTTGGGTGGCTAAGATTAGGCAGCCTTTGAAATCGCAGTAGTTACGTGTGGTATGAACATTCTTTGAATTTTCACTCTAAAATAGATTGAAGAAATCCCATTGAAAAGTCTCTTACCTATTCTAATGTCAATGTTTGATAGATTTTTTTTACTTTTGATTTGAACGTTCTCCACCCATAGATTCTTCCCTAAATCAATTTGCAACGAAGGGTTTTTGAACTTGTTTAAACTTTCAAAGCAGGTTTCTTTCCCGGGTTTATCGTCGTCCACCGCTTCACGAGCGTCGCCGTTAGACTGATGACTTTTCAAGTTGGTTTGTACTGGTCTTTTGTAAGCAACGTTTATGTCTAAATGTGAAAATGAGAAAGTGTTGTGAGTATTCATGCTTCGCATTTATTTAGTAAGCTCGAAAAAGTAAGAACTTCTTTAGCCTTTCACATACGCAGATCATTGTTACCACAAAGTCACATATTATGAGGTATTTTTGTTAATGCAAGAAGTTGTCAAGCTAGGACTATTTCTTTCATAAATGGGAAGAAGACAAGTACTTTACAACTTGGACAAAAAGGGTTTCTCCTCCCTTCCCCATCTCCCGGTCAGTAAATTTTGTTTAAACTTGATTTAAGCCGACCAGATTTGTATGTAGAAAAAATTGACAAATCAAACAATACAGGACCTTAATGTGATAATATTTCGAACTGTGTATGTTATCCTACCTTTGGAACTTGCTGTTTGCAAAATTTGTAGGAACACGAGACATAAAAGACCAATGACAGCTGCTTTCTTCATTGCAGCACGATCTGTGTTCGAAAACCCGCTACGTCTCCTCGGTATGAACTACATCGGGCGATTGATTTTGCTGAACTTTTCCTAAAATCCCTTTTCAGAAGCCAGAATTGCTGATTATGACGTCAACAAGTAATTTACTGCTCTAATTATACGCGAGCGCGCGCCATCAACAAAGCACCAACGGCGCCCATTTCTAATACGCTATATAAGAGAAGGGAATAGAATTTAGCTTTTGAAGGTTTCTTCGTAGTTTGACTGTTTACAGCTTGTTCTGGTTTCAGTTATGCCTCTCGGTGAGTTAAAATAATGTGTTCGAGACACTTCAAAAGCGTCAAAAGAGTGCGATTGGCTGTCGAATGTGTGCAATAAGTACCGCGAGGTTTCGCCGACGTATAATGAGAGCAGTGAATTGCTTGTCGACGTCATAATCAGCAATTCTGGCTTCTGAAAAGGGATTTTAGAAAAAGTTCAGCAAAATCAATCGCCTGATTTAGTTCATACCTAGGGGACGTAGCGGGTTTTCGAACACAGATCGTGCTGCAATGAAGAAGGCAACTGTCATTGGTCTTTTATGTCTCGTGTTCCTACAAATTTTGCAAACAGCAAGTTCCAAAGGTAGGGTAATAATAGGTCCTGTGGTGTTTGATTTGTTAATTTTTCTACATACAGATCTGGTCGACTTAAATTAAGTTTAAGCGAAATGTACTGGCTAGGAGATGGGAAAGGGAGGAGGAACCCTTTTTGTCGAAGTTGTAAAGCACTTGTCTTTTTCCCATTTCAGTAGTTTTCAGCGAGTTTTCTGGACCAATCAAAGAGCAAAGTCAAGCAAAACCAAAGTAAACATAGTTTGCTTTCGACACTTAATAGAAAACTACTCTAGTTGCACTACCATGTAATTGACTTCGCCTAATTCTGTCATCAGGACGGCAGCCACAGATATGGCATAGCAAACAGAATCTTGCTTTACTGAAAAAAGTGAATGCTTCCTCGACCGATAATCTTAAGGGATGTGGAAAGGAGAAATGTAAAAAGAAAGAGGCTTTTCCTCGGTTTGTGGTGGATGGCGATCCTAGGACGTGTTTCAGGTCCCGCACGGAAGGCAAACCTTGGCTGACTGTGTATCTTGGTGACTTACAACCTGTGTCTTTGGTTCGAATTCAGTCTGCAGAGAATCAAACTAAAAAAAAAAACACCGGCCTGAAAGACGTGGGCATTTTCGTAGGTAGGACAACACCTGGGTTCAGGATATCATTTACTAGAAAATGCGCTGGGAGTGCAGCACTGCCCGGCACAAGACGCAAAAGAAGAAAATTGTCAGTAAATGGGACTTGCTAGTCAAGAGAATATGTCCCTGAAGCGGCCAAAAGATATGTCAGCATTGGATAATCTTTAACAGGAACATGCCTAGCTGACAACCGTTTCGAAAAAAAAGGATGTGAACGATGGTGGCATAATTAAACTCTAAATTAAAATTGTCGAACGGTAATCACTTTGAAGTCAATCGTTCTTCACTCTCTAATTCAGCATTTCATTTTGTACAAACTGTTGAAACTCTTTTTCGTAATTTCTCTGCCATCTTTTTCTTCGTTTTTCGTAACCGAATATTGTTGTTTTTCAAGGTAACGGGAATCATTTCATGAAATGCGCAGTTGTGAAATTGCTAGTTGACGGCATAGAGACGAGCTATGGGTGTAACTCAGAACTCTATGTGTTTGGAAATTCTGTCAAGATAACTACTAAAGCCCCAGTACTGCGATTATGTGAAGTTGAAGTGTACGCTAACACATATGGTGAGAACCACAGTTGACATATTCTTTTTTAAGCCTTAAATAACGACGGCCATGGCAATCAATTGAAGCAGATCATGATCATCTCTGATTTTGACAGCATTTCAGTGTTCCTACTTGTTGTAAGACTCATTGAAGGATAGCACGAATTGCTTTCAACAACTGACCTTGGAAGCCTGGTTTATCAACCAGTGAATGTATTCCTCCAAACAGATGTTAACAACTACATACATAATGCACTTAATCATTAACGACGTTGAAGTGACGAACACGCCGAATGCGAATGCGTCATCTGTACCGACGAATCAAAACTAACCAATCACAACTGAGCTGATACTTGGGTCGTACTAACTGCATAGACTTAAAAAAAAAAGTAACTCTTCACCTGACTCGAATCATGACTTACGCGTAGGATGTCGAAAACTTAATTACTGTACTGTATTTATTTGGGTAAACGTCGCGGCGTTTATGAATTTTTCGTGATTCGAGTGCAGCGTTTTGTTTAAAATCCAAATCATTTCTTGCAAACAATTGTATGGTAACTGCCCATTATAGTTTTAAAAGACAGGAACGTGTTTTAGTGATTGTCATTTTCTATATCGTTTTCAGTTTCACAATTTGCTTGTTAATACTAATGCAATACATAAAGTGAATAAAGTTCACTCAATTTCAATGTCACTGTCCTCTACATGATCCGAGTTCAAAAGATGTAACGTTGGATGTGCTTCTTCGACATCAGAACTGGCACATTTAAAAAGGTTTACGTAGGATTTCCAACTGCGATCGAAGCATCGATCGCTCACTGCTACAAGGCTGTCCGCCCTTGATATCGCCTTCCGACCCATCCGCTGGAAGGTTCAACGTGCAGCTTGAGAGTGATTTTTTGATGACCTCTGTGGGTAGCTCTACTAAAGAATCAAGAATCCACCGCAAAAAGGTTATTTCTAGGGGTTGCTTTCAAATTTCCAGCAACTGTTTCTTTGTGAATTCCCACGGTACTCAGCCATTCATCAGACTTTTCAGTTCAAGCGGCCTTGAACAGCTAGTTCCAGCAAACGTCAGGTGCCTGGATATACCTGGATATGCTCTCTTCGATGTAACACTCGAAGGAGTCCCAGGCTAAAAGCGACTAAGCACCTACCTTTATATCATTGCCATGGTAGTCTGCTGTGTGCTTTTTGAGTCTATTATTTGAATAAACGGCGCATGATGACGCGGCGTTTATTCGAGGGCGACGTTTAATAATATTCTGCTCTAAAATACGGCGATTATTCGAAGGCGGTGGTTATAGAATAAATACGGTATGTGAAAATATTTCACTTTTGGGTGACGTATATCCATAAAACCACGCAATTAACTGTTTGTCCTCGTTTCAAAACTATTTGTTGAATAGAAAGACCTTTCTGAGGTCTTTGATTGGCTGCAATAGCTTTTGTACCCAACTTATTTACTCTCGATGTTCAGGAAACATTATCGGAACGAAGCAACAGTCATATGGCCCTGAAACGAGTCGTTTTGCTATCGACGGGGATGCAAGCACGTGTTTTAAAGCCAAAACCGGTAGGGACCGGTTCTGGAGTGTGAACCTTGGAGAAAATGTTCGAGTGGCGCGTGTTTTCATGTTATTTCACGGCAAATTTGAATGGAAAAATACGTCAATTGATATCGGTAAGTATTCTTCTTGACTTATTCCATCCTTTTGTTTGTTTGTTTTTTTTTTTGGTGTTTTGTTTTCCCGTTCGTTCTTTTCAGTTGCTAGTTTATAGAAGATCAAGTATGTATTGTGTCCTATTGTAGAGCTACAAGGGGCATGACATCATCCAAGATTACCTTCGAGTTGACCATACTCGATATTGGATAACTACTGAACAAAAAAAAAAAACAGCAACGATGTCAAGAATAGTAATTTAAATTTAAGGGTCAGTTTCATGCCTTTGAACCATCCTCGAAGAATTTATTCCCCAAGAGTTACGAAAACGAGGCAAATCCGCTTAAAAATTGTTCGACCTGCCGTTATGCTTGTATCTTTGAAAGTTGACGGAATTATTCAATATGTTACTTGTTGTTAGATACCAAAGTATGTTTTGTTACGAATGCATATGGGGCAAGAAAAGGAAATTACTTTGACTGTAATCAGCCAGTTACTGGAAGTAGAATGCTCATCAGGTGGCCATCGAAGTATATAGATAATATACAGCTCTGTGAAGTGGAGGTTTTCCAAACAAAGATAAGTAAGAATACGCTTTCTTCATTGATTTTTACGAAGTTTCTCATACAAATTTTACACAGAGCTTTAGTGTTCGATGATTGTATTGCTCACACTTAAAAGTTCATTTCCTTTAGTTAACCTGGCAGGAAAGCGTCCTACAAAGTCCTCGACAAATGAAAAGGAATCATACAGAGGCTGTGATCAGAAACTTGGTGAGTGCAGCAATATTAAAAAGAAAAAGACCGGGAAAAATTTACGTAAAGTTAAAATAATCTTATGATAAATGTATTTCACACTAATCTGGCATAAAAGATATTTCGGTTAATCTTTTCAGCCTTTATCTGTTGCAAAATTATCATTTAAAGACATTTTTGTATAACTTTACGAGTAACCATGTTGGTGTTCCATTTCAGACAAACCCTTCTCTACTGGGGTCAAATCGCGTTCGAAACAAGTAAAATGGTGGTCAGTTGATTTAATTGCATTATGCAAAATCCATCTGGTGCGCATTGTGACAGCCTCGGGCTACAAACCGCAACACCTCAAGGGTTTAAAAATTCAGGCTGGTAAGTAACCATGGCTTTCCCCTGCAAATCGATCATCTTAATAGTTTATCAATGATTGCTTCCCTTTTGGGAATTGGCCTTACATGGAAGAGATTTAGTTTTAACTTATGAATAGGCATTCTGTAAAAAATCCATTCACGAAAAAAGAGATTAGAGTCCAAACTCTGCAGAAAATATTTATTAAACTTATTAAATGAATCACAGTATTTGGCTAAAATAAAAAATCCGAAACTTCTGAGAATTTCAAAATTTCCATGCAAAGGAGAAACAAATTTACGTGAACGACAGCTCAAAAAGGAACTAGCAAAAACTCCGCGAAAAACAAGCTGAAAGTAAGCGAAAAATGTCCTCGTCAATTTTCCAATGTCAAGGCTAGAGTTCTTTGACGTGATTGGCTAATTTGCGATATCACGCGCGCCGCGCGTGAATACAAAAGGAATACAAAGGGGAAGAGGAAGAAAAAAAACGTTACTTGAAATTTAAAAACGAAAGAGAGTTTCTACATCTTCCCCCCTCGACCAGTCTTCCTTTAAAAGGAGTTCTCTTGTTCTTGAAGAAACTGATGGACTTCTCTTCTTCTAACTTCTCCTGTGATAGCCTTTGCCAAGTGTTTGCCTCCGGTCTTGCTGGAACTTGTTCCGTACCCCCAACTTCTAACGGAAACAATTTTTGTAAGGGTTTTTACAGAAGGTTTCTTTTGCCACTGCTCCATGCACTTTCCACAGTAGCTCCCCCAACGAAACCATTGTTTCTAGGGTGCACCTCCGCAATCCTTTCACGTTTCCAAGTACTACGATTTGACTTTCCTTCTTCCATTTCGGTGACAATATCACCTGGAGCAACTGATTGTGCGACGCTAGCACCTTCGTTAGCAAGCCTGTGGTGCTCCCTTAGATCCACCAAGTACTCACGTTTCCAACGGTTCCAAAATCGACCGAGCAATTCAGACAAATAACGCCGCCTTCTGGTGAGGAGCTGGACATCCATTTCATCTTCTTAATCAGTTGCATATTCGTCAGGGATGGACAGAAGTATCCTTCCTGTCAAAAGATGGGAAGGCGTAAGGGGTTCCTCGGTACACATTCCACTCCCACCACTGCAGTCAAAAGCTCGTCATACTTCAACTTCGCGTTCTTCAAAATTTTCTTGAATTTTCTTAATTTCCATTCTGTTTGATCCGCGACCCTTGAAATTTTCAAGCGCATATTCGGAGGTAATGTTCCCATGAAAAGGGGAATCAAAAGCTTCCCAAACAATGCAGAGTTTATTCCTAGGGCTTGTAAAGCCCGAACGTGTGCTTTGACTCGATCATAAAGAAGGCGTAGACGTCTCAGACATTGTCCACTCTTACAGCTGATACTTTCACTAATCCCTCCGTGTGAGCATTAATGATTACCTGGGGTTGTACAAATCGGTATATATTGTATATACCTCTAGTTGTAATTTTAGTCTTTTTCAAATAACAAAATCCCTTGTACTTGAATTTATATGTAAGGTGTTTCTTTCTGTATGTTTTTGTATTTCTTCTTTTCTTTTTTCTTATGTAATTTAATAACGCCTTTAGTTAAAGTCTTATCCTGCCTAGATTAGCATTGTAGCTATTTGCAGGACATGAAGTTTTGTAAACCTTATATTTCTTTAAATAAATACATGACGATGATGGTTTTTTCTCGTAATTTTCTGCTGTAAGCGTAAGCCCTCGAACGCCTCCTGCGGCTGACCCTTCTAACATATTTTTCAAATAATTGAATTTATCACCATCTGATAAACTAGGGTTGTCATCGACAGCACTTGCAAATGATTCCCAGAATGTATTGAAGGAAATGGGATCACCACAGAACTTCTTAAGATAAATCTTCGACAGTTTTTCCTTTCTGATTCCAAGACTTTCAGTAAGCTAATTAGACTTAGAGAGAGGAATTGACTTATCTGTATTTCCTGCCTTTTCCAGTTCAACTGCGTTGAAAGTTTCGTCAATTTCCATTATATTTGATGAATAGATTCTCTGAAGCTTCCATTTTCCTTGATTTCATCCTCGATTTGCTTTTCTGTTATTATAGACAGAATTTCGTCGTCCGGGGCTACAAGGACATTGAGTTTTTCTGTACGAGCAATCCGATTTGTTTTCAATTGATTCGCCAGAGGAGGTTCAAATTCATCGAGTAAGGCTTTTTCCTTTTCCAGAGTCGTTCTCTTCTTTTTCAGTTCTTTATCAACCATTTTTCTAGAGAGAATGAATTCATCAGGGAGTCGAAATTCCAAGGTTTCGATACCATGTAAAATAATTCATTTACGAAAAAAGAGATTAGGGTCCGTAAAAAATATGTATTAAACTTGTTCAATGAATCACAGCATTTGATTAAATTAAAAACCCCGAAACTTGAGCGTGAAAAGGAAAGACATTTTCCCTTTCTTGATTTAAATGTGTCCAGAGGGGTTCAGGGTAATTTAGAGACAAGTGTCTACCGTAAACCTACCCACACCGACAAATACCTCGCTTTCGATTCTCACCACCCTATTTGCCATAAAAAGTCTGTAGCCAAAACTTTACTTAGGAAGGCTGACTGTCTACCATCTTCACTCGATTCGAAGGCTGAGGAGAGGAAATATGTTTCTAATGTCCTAAAGGCAAACGGCTATACAAAAACCTTTCTCCGTAACTGCCAAAAACCAGTTACAACTAGTAACGCTCTTGATGAAAGGGAACCAGCGACTGGTTTTGCTTTTATTCCTTACGTCCAAGGTGTTACGGAACCTATCAAGAGAATTTTGAATAGCCACAACGTTAAAGTTGCTCAAAAACCTTTTCGGACTTTGGGGCATATATATGCCAAACCTAAGGATCCTGTCACGAAAGGACAACGAACCGACGACATTTATTCTATTCCTTGCAATGACTGTGATAACGAATACATCGGACAGACCAAACGTCAGTTTGGTACACGTTTAAAAGAGCATTAAAAAGCGGTTTTCTTTTGCAAAAAGGAAAATTCAACTTTATCGGAGCACACATGCCTAACTAACCATACAATTTGTTGGAATAATTCTAAAATTATCACCACTAATCGACGTTACCACCAGTGCCTTTGTTTGGAGGCTTGGCATATTTACTCCGCCCAAGCTTCTTTAAATCGCGACGATGGCGGTTTGCTTCCTCACGCTTATTTACACTTCGTCAGAAAAAAAAGGCCGCTAATTAGTGATCATATAAAAGGACCTCTTGTTGCAGCGTTTAGATCACCCTTGATGAAGGCACTAGACAGGGGTGTCGAAACGTTGGGTCTATGAATTGTAACTTCTTCGGTTTACATTCATTAAATCTGTAAACCAGAGTAGCATCAAACCATGTCTGATTGTCCACCTGGTTGCCGTGTGAACTTTAATATAACCCCGAAACTTCTTAAATTTCCAAGCAAAGGGTAACAAATTTACGCGAACAACAGCTCAAAAAGAACCAGCTAAAACTCTGCGAAAAACAAACTAAAAGTAAGCGAAAAATGTTCACGTCAGTTTTACAATGTCAAGGTTAGAGTTCTTTTACGTGATTGGCTAATTTGTGAAATCCCGCGCACCGCGCGTGAATACCAAAGGAATTCAAAGGAGGAGCGGAAGAGACAATTTATTACTTGAAATTTAAAAACGAAAGAGAATTTTTACACATTTCACCGAGAAATTCGTCAGTTTGAAGCAGATATTAGGTTATTTTTATCATTAACAGATGCTGGTGAAAATGCTTTTGGGAAAGGACGCCATGTAGCTAGTCTGGATTCTCCAACCAAAGAGCCTGTTCAGACCATAACTCTTCGCAAAAATATCAAAGCAAGGTTTGTTACTCTTGCCCTTTCGAACAAACGTCTGGAACTTCAGTTCCGTGAAGTGGAAATCTACAATGGTCCTCTGCTAGGTAACAATAGAGCATCCTTGGTTGCAATAGATTTATGCTCTAAAACTTATTTGTTCCACTGTCCTCGAAATTCATTTTTAAAAATAACTTACTGCTCCACACCTAAAATATAGATTTCATTTTGACAGCAAGCCTAAGGCTATAATTCCAATGGGAAGCCAATATTTTCACTTGAACAAGTGTTCAACTTCAGGGCCAACCTTACAATTCAGTTAGTGAAGATTTTAGATATATGAAAATTCACATATTTGCACTGCGGTGGAAAGATGAAATTAGGAGATCCTCGCAGCTAAGAACACTACTGAAACGAGTAGTTGTAAATAGGACCTGAAAAAACCATTTTCAGGCCCGTACGGGATTTGAACCCATGACCAACTACTGAAACGAGTAGTTGTTGTTGTGTCGTTGTTAGCTCAATTGGTAGAGCGCTGCACCGGTATCGCAGAGGTCATGGGTTCAAATCCCGTACGGGCCTGAAAAAAATTTTTACATGTTGCAGTATGTCTGGTATGTACCAGTATCTTTACAGATGGAGATCCGGCAACAAGCAAAAATTTAGTTCTACTTAACCACAAATAATAACCTGCATCCAAAAAGGAGCTCATAATATATTACAATTTTGACATTTAACAATGTGTCAAACAATTTTTGAAGGAGCAATTCCTTTGATCAGGGTCCAGTTGTTCGAAGGCTGATTAGTGCTAACCCGAGCTTAAATTTTAATCCGGATTTCTATGTCCTTTTGTTCAACCACCTCTCTCGGATAAGTTTCTCTATTCTTCGAAGAACATTTAACCATCAAATTGTAGACAAAAAGAATTGTACTGACTTTGAACAACCTGGCCCAGAGGTATTTCATTTTAATATTCTATTAAAAATCTTTTTTTTTCTTTCATCCAAGCTATTGATGATTGTAAAAGACCTAATATTTGTCCAAAAAACTTCAAATGCGTAAATGGGAAGAAATCCTATAAATGTGTGTGCCCTGATGGATTTAGAAAGATTGGATCAAAGAAATGTGAAGGTAGTTTTTTTGCTCTTTTATCATTATTATTCTGATTTTATTATGATCATCAACATTATTACTAAAACAGGTATTAGTTTCTTAACCATTACTTTGATTTCCCAAAAGTAGATACCGGTATATCGAATTTGATAGAGGGTGTCTTATGCATGAAATTCAAGTTATTTGCTTTATTCGCACGGTAACGAATTCTGAAATCTGATTGGTTCTTAGCGCGATCCAGATTTTCCTAACTCTACCAAAAGGCACACTGAGTAACACTTTTATGAGTCGCAAACATTACAAACCAGTTTGTACTGCCATAATCTTTCACATAAAGTATCTCAAAAAGTGAGAATCGTGAGGTGTTTGTTTACCATCTTGTGTACTGCCCTCGGCTTGCGACTTCTAGGATACAACTACAAGAATATTAACGTGGCGCCCTCTTGTCCTCTATCTTCACTTTGATAACCAAGATTACGTTTTTTAATTGTCCTTTTAAACTCTGCTTGTTAGATTTGTGTCATTACATAGGTTGTTGGCATTAATAAATGTTTATTTGCATCTTGAAATTAAGCCTTTTGTTCTATATACATTTCATAAATTATTGACAAAGAGAATTTTTCAACTAGCAAGAGCTGCCTTTTTGCGTGGTGAATATTTTTACTTTTCTCATCTCAATGTTTAACTAAGTTGTGACACTGCTTGGAGAAATTAGATGCTGGTCGTTCTTGAGGGTTCAAGGGTCAAACACAGTACACTTCATAATTATGGATTATATATTCAATTTAAAAGAAATCTAAATAAGCCCTTGCGTAAATCTAAATCGTAATATAAATGTTGTTCAACAGGAAAAAGTCAAACCAAGGTTTTTTTTTTTAGATATCGATGAATGCAAGAATGATATATGCGATAAAAATGCCAAGTGTAAGAATATTCAAGGAAGTTACTCATGTACTTGCAAGAAAGGATTCCGAGCAAACGGCTCGTCATGTTCGGGTATTTGATGAAATTTAGCGTTTAGTCTTTTGTGACCCTCAGCATACTAATGATGGTACACCCAATCATGTAGAAAATTTTGTAAATGTGTATATCTTCTCATAATGAGCGTAAATCTAAATCGAACGAACGCTTTTCAATATTCAGAGGGTTTATTCTTGTGTTTTTCACGTTGCTAAGTTCCCACCAATAATGTGGCTCGCTTTTATATTTATAAACCATACACATATGAAATAACTTTCATTTAACCAGCGGATAAGAATCAAGCAAAGAAATAATCCAAGCTAGCGGAGGACAATTTTGTATATAGGTATCCTAATAAATTCTTCGACGAGATTCCCAGATACTATTTGGATATTATAAATTAACCAAATTCCTTTGTTCAGCTAGTATCTAGGAGGCACCAGTTCCAATCCCATCGAACCCTGAACTCTGTGCAATTGCAAAAATCGCAGTACACCTGCCGGCGAGGATCTTTCTTTGCTTTTAATATTTAGTAATTATCCTTTCACTTGTGACCTCATGGTACAAATCCAGGGAGGATAAAAGCTGTCTGCTTGTCAGTGTCAAATAGGGTTCTTCTTGTAAGAGACCTATGGTATTCTCCTCTTCTTACAATCATCATTATCAATATCGATTCCGGGGAAAAAGGGCTAAAGACGAATCCCTAAGTCTCGTACTTAGTCCACAAAACATCCCCAGTAGCCTCTCATTCAAGAAAAATGAGGGCACGGCGTGTAACAAGCATTACTCAAATGCCCGAAAAGTCGAATTAGCTTGCGCAATAGGTCCGATAGTGGCTCGGCACTTCAACTTTTTTCTGGTTCTGTGTTAGTATTCTCATTACATAAAATATGTGGGAAAGAGTTTTTTAAACTTTCCTCGGAAAATAAGACACGTAAGAATGGAAAAAGTTTCTCTCTATATCAAATATTTAGTAAAACCAGTTCGACCCTCCTTGTAAAGCTTAGTTCACGGTAAAAACTGTAAAATTGGGCTTGATTTTGCAAAGTTTGTAAAGTCAGGTTATTTTGCTCCATATTAAATAAAATGGTTTCGGCAGATGTGAAGTCAGAATTGAAAGCTTATCAGATATCGCGGAATGGTTCAAAAGAAGCCCACCTGCTCACGTTCATTGAAATGTGGAGTCAAATTTTGCCATACTTCATTATTGCACGATTTTAACATGTCCTTGGTTTTCCAAATCGACAGAAATAAAGGAATGTATTCCCCCTTGTGATGCAGATAACTCCTTCTGTGATAACTCCTTTGAGTCTTACATATGTAAGTGCCCATACGGATTTAATCCATCGT